TGGCTAGCGGCGGGCCTTCCCGGCCCAGATCTGGGCCCTTCTTGGCTCGATCTGGGTCTGGGCGGGCCTGGCCTGGTCTGCTTGCAGCGTCTCCGGCGGGTCGGGGGCGTGACTCGTGCGGGGGGTGGTGGCGACGGTGGCTCGCGTTCTGCAGCGTGGCGACGGGGGCTTCGCGAGCCCGTTTCGGGCTTGGCTGGGCCAGGGGTGGCCCGGTTTGCCCCTGTGCTGCGTCCGGACGGATCCCGCCGGGGGTGGTGGAGGATGTCCCCTCCCGCGAGGCTGCTGATGTTGCCGCTCCTGGTTCCTGGTTGCGTCGTCCTGTTTCCGTCGGTCCCGTTTCGTTTGCCATGGTGAGACGGCGATGGAGACTGCTTGATCGTGGTGGCGCAAGTTGGTGGGCGGTGTGTTTGGTGGCGCGGGATGGATCGTCTGGGGTCGTGGTTGGTTGGTGGTCGGGAGAAATCCTTGTCGGCAGGGCCAGCACCGACGCGGTGACGCTCGTGGGCGCCGCCGTGCCTTCCTGAAGGGCGTCGGGCATACCCCTTCCACCTCACCCCTCGCGTACCGGGGGAAACCTTAGGACATGTCCGGGCAACAGCATCGTCATCGTCGCGATCCTTCTCGAGGGTGTTGTTTGGTATGCGGCGGTCCGGAGTGCTAGGAGCGTGGTGGTCTTATCCGGTGGGCGCGGCGGTTGCGGGTCCTCATCGTTTTCGTTGATCCGCCGTTGTTGGCATTATTTTTTCTTCAGTTCCTTTTTTTGTTTCTTTTGGGCTTGCTTGTGCTGAGGCCCAGCATTTGTATCGTGTGGTCATGGCTTTATAATATAAAGCGGGGAGAAACCCTTTCGGTACAGATCGAATCAGATCGATTCACAGCAACCAATCGCCGCCGCCGCCGCCACTGCCGCCGCTGGGGGAGCTCCCTCTTGCGCGGTTGGTCCGAGCTCCGTCGTCCGCCTCAACCCCACCATCTGAGCTCCCTCTTTCTCCACCGGTCTGAGCTCCACCGTTCGTTGCGACCCCGCCGCCGGGCATCCATGCTCCGCCGTCTGCTGACGTGTGCTTTGCAAGGCTGCGTCGGATGAGGAGGCGCGCCTGTGCTGGATTGGCACGGCCGTCCGCGGTCACGGCGGCATCATGGGGCGCTGGTGGTGCAGGTTCAGGTGGATGACGGGTTGGTGTCTGCTTGGCCTGAAAGAATTCCGTCGCCGTCGTGCTTTTGGGAAGTATGTAGTGCAGATTTCTCATACAGCCTAGCAAACAACTTCTCACGTTGGCATGCCCCAGAGTATGCACACAACCAATCATCCATCTCAACTCTTTTTTGCACCAGTTTTTCCAGGCTAGACTCAGCCAGGATGATGCATGCGATGCAGCGTGAGACTATGCAAGGATCCAAACACGCCCTTGATTACTGGATGCAACCAGTGCGAGATGGTAGCATGGGCTATATTCAACCGGTTTGGATGACAGTCTCATAATAGGATAGGCGTCTAGTGTTCTAGTCCTATTATCCTGCCGGTTGTGGCAATGAGTTTTCATTTCTATTTTTGCTTCGTTTGCGGAGCTGTACTAGAAGATTATGTTTTTATTTGAAACTTTTTAATAATATGGCCGCAC